TAACAAAAAAAGGCAGGAGAAAAAATATGAATTTAATAAAAGAGCAGCAAAAGAGTCAGAAATATTAAATTATTCACTCATATAGGTATTCACAGCATATTATGGATGTAGATAATCATGAAATATTGAAGAATCATGAACCACTGAAGATCCACAAAATTTGACATTCACCTGCAAAAAGGGTTTCCGAAGTAGTAGCTCTGCAAAAATACAAGCAGCAGCCCAAACGTCAACCCCAGGCCCATAATTCTTAGCACCAAATAACAGCTCTGGTGCTCTGTACCATCTGGCAAAGACCTAACCATGTGAGGAAAATGTCAATACGTGCAGCCAGAAGACTTTACTGGGACCCAGACGCAGTGTTCTAAGTGACGCAAAGGCAAGGTCCTAATGGCTATGGGCCTTGGGGGGATTAAGGCCTAGATGAATATACATATACATAGATATATGTATATACTTTTTCCATCCCAACGTATTCGTCCAGACTAACTTTTTCGAGTCAAACTGGACGAACTTTGTACCTCAATTAAATAAAAACGATAATGTATATTAGTATAAAAATGATTTGATTAGATTTATCTTGTTGAGAACATCCAAAATTTTATTTCATTGTATTAATATGAAATACAAATTGAGAGTAATTGATTACTAAAGTGTGTCCAATTTGACTCGAAAAAGTCAAACTGGACAAAATACACTGGGACAGAGGAAGTATATACATACGCATACACACACATACACATATTTCGCTTTAATCTTTATATGGATTAACTTGTACAGTTATACTCACATAGTATCTAATACCCAAGTTAAAATGCACATCGATTCTTCCAGGGTATGCATGTTGAGACTATGCACGACACTGCCAATGGCAAAGCCTGCACAATGTGGGACTGAGGCATACACTTTGAGGACCATGTGAGCTTTGCACAATATTCTACACCAGATTTTAGTTGAGTTAGGCCCACTTTTTTAAAATTCCAATTTTCCTATTAAGCTTTGACTTAGGGCTGCACAAGGTTGTGCGACTTCTCTTCTACAGGCAGCAGATATTGTGCATGAAACCAAATAGCGTATTTCTGCTACACTATGTGTTGGTTTTTGTTTTGTTCACCTTTTTGAAGAAGATGATGAAAATGGACGAGGATATACCCTAGACGTTTCTTGAATTTTTATGAATAAATCATGGAACTCGAAAAAAGGTTCCACACTTCCTTTTCAGTTTGACCAAAAAAGGTTCTATTTTCCTTTTAAAGAAAGAACTGTATGCTTCACATTATATGACTCTAGACCACACAATTTCACATTCCTTAATAACCATGCCCAACATTAGTACAACCTTAGTTTAGGACAGATGGAGTATTGTTCTAAGTATTTTAAAATGTTATCTGTAGTTATTTTATACGAGTATAAAATTGAAGCTTGTGCCTCATTGCATAATGAACCAATGAGGTTTACACAATACGCACTCTAGTATAACTGTCAAGTTTGTGATCCATAACTTCAAGCATTGATATTTTTAGTACCCATAATTTTTCTTCTGTAAGTGAATATTGAAAATCTAAAACATAATATACATAAAATTGTTAAAGGGCATACTAGGGAAGTGAATACCTAAATGTTTTTAATCATAATCTTGGTCTGGGTGAAAGTCAAAACTCAAAATCATAACATATACTGCGTAATAAGGACAAGATGGTATATAATTTATGGAAAAACTGCATTAGTTCAATATAATAATTAACTATCGAACGATAACCTAAAGTCCTAAACAGCATGTAAACTTTTATATACATATTCAAAAGCATTGCTTAAATCCTACTCCTAGAAGTCTTTAAAAAGTACACTGCTTGAATACTAGGTGATGTATCACAGTGGAGTTGAGCATGGATCCAAAGGAGGGGCAGGAGCTATTCAACTCCTCTCCCCCATGCACTTGTATACTTACGTGTAACTATATTTGTACTTTTGTATGTATTTAAGTGACACACACACACACCATAAATAGTTAAATAGACAAACAGTTCTTGGTGTTCAATAGATAAGAGCCTGTATTAATGAAGTTAAAAATCCTCTTGACATATGGAACATCAAACTCTCTTGTTTGTCTCTTTTCTCCAAGTAACATGTTTATATATACTCTGTACTTATTAGTGTTATGTTCATTTTGCTGTAATTGCTTCCAAACAGACAAGTACCTGATGAGTGAATCTTCTTTCTGGGCTACCATATAATCGGGCTAACCCAAAATCAGCAAGCTTGAGCTGTCCATTTGATCCAATTAATAAGTTGTTTGGTTTCATATCCCTGTGATAATGCAACAAAGAAAACTCAATGAATCGGGATCAAATTAAAACATAAACAATTAACTTGCAATTTGGCAGTCTTACCTATGCAAGACCCATTTTTTATGACAAAATGCAAGTCCTTTCAGGGTCATCTGAAGATATGACTTAATATCCCCTGGTGATAGAAATATATTTCTATCACGAATGACAGCTTCCAAATCAGTCTCCATGAACTCAAACACAAGATGCAAGTTCCCCTTATGGGGAAAGGCATCGATCAATTCAATTATATTCTGATCATTTAGCTCTTTCAATAGTTTGATTTCTCTCAAGGCAGTGAAATTCACACCTTCTTTCTGCTTCCCAAGGCGAATTTTTTTTATGGCAACTGTCTTCCCGCTCTGCATAATTCAAGAGGGTAGACAATTGGGTTGTTGAATAAAAATACAAAAGCTGTAATGGTTCGCGATTAAAAAAACAATTACTGTCAAGACAGAAAGGTAGCTATAACAAACTGAGAGATGAAAGATTTATTCTAGTCTGGTTTCAAGTGCAGTAATTAAAGATTAAACAGTAAACAAATCCAGGAAAACAAAGATGAAACATACGATACAATTTTAAGCGAATGTTTCCAAATCCTTTCGAGTACTAGAATGCATTTTGTTTCCCTTTATACTTCTTTGGCTCTTTTCATTTGAATTAACAAAACTAAAATGCATAGGAATTAAGCAACAAAAGGTCCAACTCGTTCAGTAATCACATTAGATGAGAGTATAGCTTTGAATCTGATAGCTAAAGAATGAACAAATTAATTTGTGTAGAGTGTATAACTTACTGTGGTGTCAATCGCTTTGTAGACGACACCATATGTACCCTCCCCTAGAACTTCGCGCTTCAGGTAACGATCCGCTACTTTCTTACTGGTATCCAACACTTCCGACATGGATGTCGGAGAAAGAAGACCGGAGAAGGAGGGAACGGATGTGCCAGATGAACTTAGACAAAGACTTGAAGGAAGGAGATTAAGCACAAAGCCCTAACCGGAAATCGCTTTCCCGCCGGTGGTCGTCAATGGTAGCCGCCGTTCACGCCTTGATGGAGAACGATGAAGAAGGCGCTGGAGAACGAGATTGTGTGGTTAGGGCAAAGGGCCAACGGTATGTTGTGCGGACTAGGGAGAATACTATTTCAAGAAAAATAAAAATAAGATATCTAAAAGAATTCCTTCAAAAAAAATCTAAAAGAAATATACTTATATATTCTCTCAGTGATTCATGATTTATATTGCCACTATAGAATCTTGTGATCGAGTTGAATCTTTAGATATATTATGAGATACTCCTAGCATGGTTGAAAAAAATAATTTTTGGCATACACTATCATGGTTGCAAAAAATAATTATCCTATCCAAAAAAAGTGTACAGAATTTTACAAAACGTTAGACTAATACCTAGACCTGGCAAAAAATGACCCGACCTGTTTTTGACCCGAAACCCGACCTGAAAACACTGGGTTTTGAACAATGGTTTTGATGACCGAACCCGAAGTTGACCGAACACGAAATGACCCGCTAAAAATGGGTCAAACCCGACCGAACCCGAACCCGACCTGACCGACCCGCTAAAGTAAGAATTTTTCAAAATCATACACTTTACTACTCGTTTTTAGTGTACAAATTTATATTTGCAGAGAAAATTTTAATGATATTGCATAATTATCTTACTTTTTTCCAAAACTTAAGCATTTTTAAATTCCTTATATTGATTTATATATCTAAAAAATTACTTCAGAGTTTAAAATAAATCAATTTTATAGATTTAATACATTTTTTTTGATATTTNCGAAATGACCCGCTAAAAATGGGTCAAACCCGACCGAACCCGAACCCGACCTGACCGACCCGCTAAAGTAAGAATTTTTCAAAATCATACACTTTACTACTCGTTTTTAGTGTACAAATTTATATTTGCAGAGAAAATTTTAATGATATTGCATAATTATCTTACTTTTTTCCAAAACTTAAGCATTTTTAAATTCCTTATATTGATTTATATATCTAAAAAATTACTTCAGAGTTTAAAATAAATCAATTTTATAGATTTAATACATTTTTTTTGATATTTAATATTTATTTAATAGAAAATGTAAGTGGTAATGTGAATTTAAAAATTTTAAAAATCAAAGTTATAACCCGTTGGGTCGACCTGAACCCGACGATACTGGGTCATGAACATACAGTTCTCAACCCGAACCCGAATTGACCCGAACCCGAAATAACCCGAACTTGAAGTGACCGAACCCGAACCCGACCTGACCGACCGATTTGCCAGCTCTACTAATACCTTGTCTCAAATTTAAAAACACTTTGGCTCAGTAATTCTCAAGTCCTACCAGATTGAAGTTTCGACCGTTCTAAAATTACTTCTTTCTTTTCAAACTATTTGATTATGTATCGAGAAAGTAGTATAAGAACTAAAAGGTCTTTTTCAAGGTTCAGTTCAGTAAGTCAAACACGTTTAGTTTTAGAATATCTAAGTTATGAACTTTCAAAAAAAGTACTCCGGTACATCTTAGTTGTATGAGTAATAACATCAATCTCATTATAGCACGATGTATTCCAAACTGACCAGATTGGTAAGGGTATAGGTGTTGATAAAAATGGTTCTCTTTTGCATGTGAGGTATTTAAAACTAAAGAGCAATGTTAGGTGAACAATTTTTAACAAGTGTTTCTAGCTACTAATCTAGTGTGTGTGTGGGTAGAGTAGCTACTAATCTAGTGTTTTGTATTCAATGTAGATTTACCGTAATTGATTACATTTTACTAGGCCTAATTTTATAGGAATAAATCTCTGTATTAGGTTAAACATTATTTTGTGACATATGATTTATTTTTTGAATTGGTTCATGCATGGACTCACTAAGTATATTTTTAATTTAATAAGTCGGGCTGGGCAGACCGAAGCCTGCAAGTTCTCTTATGGATCGGGCTAGGGCTTGGAATAATAGACCTGTAATGCTGGCCAGCCTCGAGTGCAAAAGAATGAGTATTGTACCACCTCGGCCTACCCCCCGTACACTTTGACTAGGCCTAATGGTAACACTTGGGCAACTATGAGAAAAGGCGAGCGTCGTCTTCCAAAGAAAACAACAATAACAAATCCATTGAAATCCCTCCATAAGAGTGTTGTTCTAGATCTTATAAAAAAACTCGATTGACAAGCTTCCACTGAATTTTATAATTCATGTGAGTATGATGTAGATATAGAATTCAACACTTCAATTGTAGAAATAAAAGAAATCTATATTCTGTGTCATGTACGCATTGTCGAAGTGTTTTTGAAGCTGCTTTTTATAGTGAATTGCCCGGCACAACTAAGCCCTGAATCACTCGATACAATGGTTCGCTTTCAGCATTGGTTATTAGTGAAACATTGAAAAGATAAAACAATAATTACACATGAGCCACACTTTATGGAAACTACAAACGAGAAAATGAAAAGTTCAGATGAATAGCTCACTCCATTTTAGACATGTATAATGGTTTTTTGAAATCTAATTTCATATTTTAATATTTTCGACTATGATAGTATGATAATAAAATATATGAACGAGTGCCTTCTTTTCTTGCTTTATAAATTATCGACAATTACTCCGTATTACTTACACATACGTTAATAATAACTAATTAATCAAATATTATTCTAAGTAAAAAATATGTAGTCTTTTTTGAGAAAATGGACTATGTTTTAGTCCTATTGGAAATAAATTTCACTTTAGAGTTTTTACAAGCTATAACTAATGTGGGTTCTAATGCCACCCCATAATAGAACAGACTATGGCTAAAATGGCTTTAACCAATTCACAAGTTTTACAGATCAAAGTTCAACAACAACATTTTCCACAGCCTATACATATATCTAAGGCTGGATTCTACCCTTACTCCTAGAAAACAGCTTACCAAACCCATTCTTTCCTCTGGAACTGCTGACATGATTGGCTGCTGATGAATCCGACGAAGAGGATGACATGGGGGACTCCTCATAGTTTCCTTCATTTGTGGAATTGCTGGAGTTTTGATCTGAAATTTCCAGATGATCTGAGTCAAGTTTTTGGGCAAATGTCTCATCCAAATGTGTCTTCCACAGGTCGGCCCCACCACCAGAGAGCCCTTGAAGATTTGGGGCATCTGTCAAGAAATCTTCCAATGTGGCCAGTGATTGGAGCTGCCTTTCGAGGGATGCAATCGTTTTCTGGCATTCAGCTAGCTTGGTGGCAGCCACATCTAAAACTTCCTGCAAAATTACATCTTTTTCACAATGTCACAAATATAATGTTGTCATTCTTGAGTGGGTGGGATGCATTAAGACTAAACACATAAAAAGTACAGTTGGCTTTAGGAGTTTTGTTGGAAAAGTTGTTTCCAAATGGATTCCAGTGTTTTACAGTTGCTAACCTGTTTCACTTTCGGTTCCTCACTTGAACATAAACTTGAAGCTTGATTAAGCTCAACTTCTTCAGTTTTTCTTCCCATTTTCTGTGTCATATCTGTAGATAAGGAGTGTTCTCTATCAGCATCTGACCTCAAAGACTCCAGCATTTCTTTAGACTCATTCACTGCGGATAGCTCCTTTAGCAACACCTCCAGCATGATTTCTGCATCCTTAAACTGCAACTGAGATGCCTTAAGGGCATCTTGGGTATCACTCAATGCGCCTTCCAGTTTCGTTTTCTCAGCTTCAATTGTCTCTAACTTCTTCTCTAGTTCCTCCACACCATGAATCGTAGTCTGGAGTTCTGCTGCTGATTGATCCTCTATGCTGGAAGATGTGTGGGAAGTAGCTTGGGGCGACACGTCGGCCTTTTCACTCTTGCCGTCACCTAGAGACGATGCAAGTCTTTCCATTTCAAGAAAGTCATCCATAATGTCAATTTCTACAGGGACAGAAGCTATATTCTTGAATGAGGACTTGCCATTCTTGAACTGATCAAGCTCAGCAATCAATGCTGAAGCCCAGCAGTCTGAGCCACACGGATTGTGCTCGCCACTCTCAGTTTGGCTATCCCAAGATTTTTTACCATGGCATGCAGATGATTCACGAGACTGTGCTTGTTGCATTCTTCTGTACTCTGCCTCAAGTTTCGCAAACTTCTTTATGCTTTCAAGCTGCTGTTTGCTAGCTGTTTCTGCAGTTTGGGTGCTCAAGTCCCTCTCAATTGTCCTAACCTCTAACTCCTTGGTCAGAGAAAAGAGTTCAAGTTTGAGACTTGTGTTCTCTTTCTCCAGGAGTTCAAGCTTCTGGAGAATATCATGATGAGCAGGTATAGGGTACGCGTTTAACCGGAGCTCAACCAGCTCTTTCTCTAGAGCATCCCTGCTGGATTCCCATTCCATGGCCTTCTCTAATATGGCTTCTTGAATCCTTTGCTCCTGCTCATCTTTGGCATTTCTCAACTGCTTGACACATTCCTTGAGAGCTCCATCAAGCTGCACATTATGCTGAACTGCTGCATCCAGTTGCTCTTTTAAAGCAGCTACCTCATTTTCTGCCTTTTCCCAGCCTATCATGTGATCAAGAAAGGATTATTAATGAAGTAGCAGTTAGTCAAGCAATGCAACTTTCGACGTTGAGCCGGGGGTCTCTTTGGAAACAGCCTCTCTACTTTCGAGTAGGGGCAAGGTCTGCGTACACACACCCTCCCCAGACCCTACTCTTGTGGGATTTAACTGGGTTGTTGTTGTTTTGTAAAAAGAAGGCATTTTGTCCAACAACTATTTTCATAATAAATTGATTCTCATTTATCACAATATAGAGGGGATAATAGATGAGGTGACAAAACAGCTAAAATTCCTTCCTTTTTAGTATGAACCATTTCCACTGCACACGCTTCCTTTTCTAGCCGCTCCTTATTAATGCACACGCTTCCATTTTTTGAAAAGACCCACACCAAAAGATTCTACAAACCATCACATTTAGCACTCAACTGGCTCACTTACTCCCTTCTTCATAAAAGAATCGATATGCTTCTACATTAAATATAATCCTACATTTTCCCAGTCTATCATGTATTAATACAGGATTATTTTTTATTTTAAAAGAACAATTTGTCAAAGAGACCAAAAGAATGATTTCCATATTAAAGTGATTTTCATTTGTCAATACAGAGGGGGATAATAGATAAGGAGATAAAACAGCTAAAAATCTTTCCTTTTTAGTATGAACCATTTCCTTTTCTTTTCGCTCCATATTAATGGGTACACTTCCATTTTTGAAAAGACCCACACAAAACACAATTCTACAAACCATCAAATTTTCTCCCTTCTTCATTAAAGAATTGATATGCTTCTACATTAAATATAATTATACAAAAAGGACTATCCCTTCCGTTTACTCTTTGATTGCCAAGCCGTTCTCTAAGAATGCACACACCAATTACAAACAAAGCGAGTATAAATTTGTATACCTGCGACAGCTTCTTCGGCAACTTTGGCATGCTGCTTAACCAGGTCTTCTTTGGCACTAACATTAACAAGGGCAGCTGATAACTTTGTTGTCAGACATTTTAGACTTTCCTTAACTTCATCGTCATCTGTGGAAGCAGACTTTGAGGTAACTTCAGGCGACTTTTCATCGTGATGATCAAGGGATGATTCCTTCGTTGCGTCCTGATGCATTAAAGTGAACAAAATACAAGTCACACTCGTTAGTTAGTCGTTACCTAATTCAATCTCTGCCCCTGTAACAGATGAGTTATTCTTTGACATCACACTCGATTACCTGCTCATATGAGCTTTCAATTTCGCCCGAGCCCTTGTCAGAAGACTTCCTTTTCCATAGCCATTTTCTCTTCTCCATCTCAACAAATCTTATACGACTCTGTCAACCCTACAATCTAGCATATTACTATTCATCAAGAAAGATCACCTATAAATGCAATCCACTCCGCTAGCCACACAACCCTGACCGCCCTAAGCCACAAACACTTCTTGAATTTCACAACTAAAACAAAAAAGAGGGGGAGGGGGGGAAGAGAGAAAAGAAGAAAAAGAAAAGACCCATTGGCATAACACACAATCACAAAACAAGAACTCCTCATATGAACACATTACAGTTAAGAATTAGCATAATCAGGAAGAATAAGGGGGTGTTTGTTTAAAGCCCTAAAGGACTCGGGCTGAATATTCAGTCAACAAGGGGAAAAGAGAAAGACCCAAAATTTTTCCAAGAAAAAGTGAAAAAAGATTAATAAAAAGAAATAAAATGAAAAGGCATTACCTTTGAGTGAAGATCCAGAAGAACAACTTGGGAAACGCCAACCACCAGACTACTACCTCTAGAACAGTAGTGTTGAAATTTGAAGACAGGGAAACGAAGGGAAAAAAAACTGGAATTTGAGGGTTTTCCCAGACTGAAAACAAAAATCCAAGAAGCCCCCACCCACAAGAGAAATCCAAACAGAAAAATGAAAAAAGACTGGATCTTTGAAATGACAGTGGAAATCTCTGGCAGGACAAAATTTGAATTCCAGATTTTTCGAATTGATCTTGAGGGGGGTAAAGTTCCTATATGCTGGCTATAAAACAACAAGAAATGGAGCTAGGGGAGCGTATGTGGCACAGTAGGTGGTAAAGATTTCAGCTTTTTTGCCGTTATCGTTTTCTGGATGGGGTTTATTTATTACGTATTTTTTTTTCAAAAAATAATCACTTTTCTATTTGTTCCCGCCCGTTGAATGTGCCCCGGAGTGGCAATGTCTTTTGGATCTTCGGATTCTCTTTGAATTTGGTTTGGATTCTTCTTTGGACGGTGCCACCACATGGGTGCACTCATGGTAGCACCCATGTGATGGTACTCTAGCATTTTCCTTCTTCTTTTGGACCTTTGATTTTTTTTCTTTCTTGAATTTAATAAAAAACATTTTTCCTTGATTTGGAAAGAGTACTCCTTCCCCAATAAATCAAGTCCAAACTTTTTCATTTTTTTTATAGAAAGAAGAGTAAAAATGATAAATATATTATAAAAAATGAAAAAAATAAAAGTGTGAATTTTATTTTGGGAATGGAGAATATTCTTTTTTTAGAATTCTTTCTTGGTCAACAAAATTGTCAACTAATTCTGATAAGATCTCAAAATATATATTTCATCAATCCGTGCAATTTTTGAAAATCAAAATCCATAGAATCATTTGAAAGAATCTAAAATCAAATGCATATTTAAAGCTTTGTTTTGGAATAGCATTTCAGTTTAGCGTTTAGAATAATTTTCTAATCGTGCAAATTAATTTTAAGAACAATAAAACTAAATCCTACTTTTGGATAACTTTTCAAAGTGCTCTATAACTAAATAACGAATTTTTTCCAAGACAAACTCTAATTCTCACTTCTCTTTCATTATACTTTAATCCAAAAAAATCTATATCAAATGCGTATTTAGTCTCACTTGTTTTCAATTTACTTTATGCCAAATTTATTTTTTCTTTCAAAACAAAAACTCCGCATTCTATAATTAAAGGGAAAACCTAGAGATAGCTCAAGGTGGTGTACCCCAAATGTATAATACCCCTTTTCACAGACACATGCAGATATTCATTGTATGTTTCACTTGAGGTACACCACTTTAGGATGCCCCTAGTAAACCCCATAATTAAAGGTAAAATTCACATTTCACTAATCACTTTTTGACCGCACCCTTTTTTCAAGGCCCATATCACACACCTTTCTACTTACACCGGCCTACATAACACCCCATCAAACTCTGCCATAAGTCCCATAACACATAGCCTTAATGACAGAAAAGAAGTGACCCATGACGGGAGGTGGTCATTAGTGCAGGGAGATATCAAATCTCGAATTGATATCAACCAAATTCGAGAGATATTAGAACACTCGTCTCAGAGAATTATAATGTCCGGAGACATCAAATTTCTTGTTTAGACTTCACCAAAAAGAGCAAGGAGAAAAGGAGGTTTCGATATCAGTTGAGAAGATATCAAAACTCATATTTGATGAAGAAGGCAATTTTCCAAGATAAAAGGAAACATTTTTTCCAAGTAACTACTCTGATAAAATAAACAGGAGTCCAAATCGTGGCCCACTTTCAGATCAACTATACCATTAATTACACACCCAAATATGGTGCAGAGCAGCAACAAAAAAAAGAGAACTAATCTTGTTCTTCATCATCTGTGACAAACTTCCCAGTGCCTGGATTAATGGCTGCAAAGAAGAAGAAGATAACATTAAACAAGATCAACGGCTCGATTTCATTGAGGGGCACCCCAGTCTCAATGTTGAGTTGAGCAAGCGCCCCTTTCCCCGTCGTTATCTCTCCGATTATGGAAAACGCAATCCCCAGTTGAGCCAATCTCCCAACAAACAGCTCGTTTGCTTTTGTGAATCCAAACAGAGGTCCTGCATTCCCCATTCAATGCCCAAGATTAAGAATAGTAAAAAACAAAGAAAAAGAAATGTACTTCCTCCGTCCCGATGAAAAAAGACGCGTCCTAAAAATGTATAGTTTTGATATTATTTTCTAATTATAACTTATTGATCTTACACATCATATCCTAGCAAGGCAAAATTAGAAAATAATATCAAAATTATACATTTTTAGAGCACACCTTTTTTTCTTTGATTAGTTACCACAATTGAATGTGCCTTGCTATATACGGAGTAGTATAAAACGAAATGCATACAACAGAGAAGAACAGTACTTTGACAGTTTAAATTTGTTCCGAAAAAGTCATATTTTGAACAAAAGAAGCTAATTTTCATTATACTTGGTAATATTTTTTTCATGAAAAAAATGTCTCAAACGTCGAGTATTATTCAATTTATTTAAACCAATAATTTTATATAAAAAAGAGACATATTTCTTAGACATAAGAGCATGTTTGAGTGCGTGAAAGGTTAAAGATGCAAAGAGAGTATTAGACTAGATTGTATTGTATCTATATATTGTGCCAAGATATGAGAAGGGATACACGATTGATTCATATTTCATTATGGTATCGGAGCAATATTACCTACCTCTTTCTTTGAGCCCAAAAGCTGACCTGAACCCTTTTCCGGGCGGGATAACGGCCCGGTCGAGCCCAGTGGGCGGTTCGGGATCGTCCACGAACTTGCCTCTGTCTCCCAAAGCTCCAATGGCTCCCAACAGATTGAAGAGTATGAAGAACAACAAGAGTGGCTCTGCCTCATAAATGGGAATCCCAGTTTCCAAGTTCAGTTGTGCCAAAATCCCCTTTCCTGTTAGTGCTTCCCCCAACAAAGATGCCTTCAAGACATAATTATAAGGTAACCCACTATAACATATCATATCAATGCAAGTAATAATAATCAACAAGGTTCTTTTGACACCAAGAATGAGTCTCATAATATAAGACTCAGTCCATTTGGGGGCCCTACAGTGCTCCTCTAAGTCTCTCTAATCTGACCCTCCCCCCCCCCCCCTTTAGCCCCCCTCATTTGGGTAGCAATCCACTGATTGTCCTCCAAATGGGGTGGGTGAGGGCAAGGGGGAGGGGGGGAAGACTGTGAGGATAATAACCACTTTGTTNTGTCGAACGAAGCATTGTAGAGCCTTCAAATAGACAGGTGTCAAAATATGACACGTTTGCTTTTTTTACATGAAGTTCAAGAGACGTAAAATAGTATGGTTGAAATTTGTACATAGAAGAGAAATGTGACTTGAACCAAACGATTTTTTTCCTTAAAAGAAATGGGGAGATTAATGTGCACACACTTGTGAAACTTGAATATGTAACAAAGAGACAATAGGTGACTCAAGGCTGCGGGAACAGCTAGAAGACTTATAGTGGAACATAAGAGAGGAGTATAAATCTTTCTGCTAGAGTTTATACATCATAGATAGTACAAAAAAGTACTCCAATATTAGACAAAAAATTCTTCCTTTCGACCTTCATCCACAACAAGTTTGAAGAATTCTTGATTAAGTTAATTTCTTGACAATGTATTAGAATGAATGAGGTTGACATACAATTCAAGATTACCAAAAAAATGACAAATTGACATGCAATACAAGTAAATAAATTATTGGACTTCCAACTGCGATGAGCTTGCTTTTTCTTTTTTTTGTTCAGTTGATCTTTTCGCATACATAGATATATACATATTCTCTAATCTCTATAGGTTAAAATTTAATAATGATAACAACAACAACAACAACAACAATAATAATAGAAAAGGATACGAACCGCGAAACCGATCATAGCCACACGGCCAACAAAGAGTTCATTTTGCTTAGAGAACCCAATTCCTCCCGAGGTCCCAAAAATCCCATCCTCCACCTTGGGCTTGCTCTCCGAAACCTGCAATTATTTCATGACATATCATTGTTAGCAACCAAAATCACTCGGTAGCACTTAATAAATGCATAAACTTTAAAAACAAATAAGCAAATGATGGAGTTTAGATCGAAAGATTCCTTTTTGGGTGGTGGGGCTTTGGTCTTCGTTTTGAAGAGAGCGAAAATTCTCGAAGAAGAAGAAGAATAGGGTTTGGAGGGAAGAAAATGTCGAGGAAATGAAGAAGAAGAAGAAGAGTTTGAATGAATGATGGAGGGTTGAATGGAGAAGAAGGTGGATTGTCTCTTGAGGTCAAATGCAGAAGAAGAAGAAGAAGAGATGAGGAGCAGCATGGTTTGCGCCATATACAAAGAACCAAACCTCTGTTATTCTTTTCTTCTTCTTCTTCTTTCTCTCAGTATATCTGGTTACATTACTCCGGTGATTTTTGTGAGTTTGTGGTTGTAATTAATTCCATGGGAGTGAGAGTGGATAAGGAGAGGATTAGAGGAAGATGGTTGTCTTCACATATTGATTTTTGTTGGATTCAAAGCTCTACCCCAAATGTACACCACCCCTCTCTACTACCTATTTTTATTTATCCGTGGAGTATTTTTTTGCCTATTTATGTAGACAAGGAGGGATGAGGGACAAATGGAGTACACCATGCCTAGCATTTTTCTACCAAAAATGATTAGCCTCATTCGGGATGGCTCGCTCACACCTGTCCAGACAGTTAGTCAAAGGAGATAAATTAAATTTTGATCGAAAATTGGTGGTAAAGAATGAAGCTTCCGCCTGATACTTGCAGAGTATATCCTTTGCTTAGCTGCCTCCCAACGAAGTTGTAAAGATTCGAACTCGTTACCCCTAAATTTCATTATACCAAGCTAGTGGTTGGGTGGATATGATGGATAACCCTTATGGATTTTATGGATCTAACAAGATAATAGGATATAGACCCGCTTTAGATTCTTGAAAATAATACACAATTTAGTTTATGGATAATTATGTGAGATAATTTACGCAAATGCGACTTAAGCACATCACTTCTCCAAATAGGACTGGTCATATTTATTCTAACCTTTAACAATGGAAAGTTTTAAAATATCTTACCTTTGATAAGAATGACATGTTACAGAATTCAAGTATAATATGACATTATTTAAAATAATTTGATTAGTCATTGAAATGATTAGTAATTATCAAACACTTGTTACTAATAGTCTAATAACCACATTCTAAAGTCATTCATATAACCAGTCATTATCCAGCACTTATTGTCAAATAATGCCCACATTCGTAGATTCATTTGTATAATCAGTCATTATCCAAAACTTGTTACTAATGAGACATATATAGCAGATCATATAAAATACGATTCCGGTCCGGTAGGGCTTCATTAGTGAATATGTGAATTATACCTTTATTTGGTGTAATTCATGATTTACAGAGAGGGAGAGAATGTTTTAGTATTTATAGTAAAAACTTGTAAGAACTATATTCGAAAAAGATATAAGGAGTATTTTAGTACTACTCCATTACAAATTTTACTACTCCCTATTTATCAACTCTTGCTTTATATAAATAATTTTTGATGTGATTTTTACTTCTTCTCGTTTTTTTAAACACTTTCTAGTTACTATTTTAAGTCTCTCAATAATTTTTGTTTGTTTACATTCATATTGGTTATTTGATAAAATAAAACCCTTGTCATAACTTGTTTTATAGGTCTTTTGAAATAGTTTTTAAAATGTGTAAATTTTACTTTTTATTTCTATAATAATTTATAAATGAAATGATTTAAAAAAAAAGATAGTGGAATTTTGCCAAGGCAGTGGGGCCATTTATTTTGGGGGCCCAGATGTTTTTTTAATTCTCTATTCTTATAGTCCAAATTTTGTTTCTTCTCTTTTTAAAAATGAAAAAGAGAAGTGGGGATCAAACACATGCACTTCTAGGTGGGAGATAGAATGTGGCTCATCCACTTGAGCTATTAGCGTATTACTCCCTCCGTTCTATAATGATTTTCCCGATTCGTAAAATGAAGAAAAATCTTAAGTTTTTAAATCTATTTTATTTAAATATTGGTATAGAAATAAAAAATAAAACATACATATTTAAAAACTACATCAAAAGTTCAACAAAACAAGTGGTGACAAGAATATTTTATTTTATCATATAGGCCATGAAAAAACACAAATAAATATAAATTTCCGTGAAGTTGGAATAGTGCTCTGGGAAGATCATTATAGGACAGAGGGAGTATTTAGGAAAAATTAGTAATTCAATGATTATATAATACGAATTAATGATTCACTTATTACTTTTTGTTTAAATTGTACTACCTCCGTCCCATTTTAAATTGCTTGTTTGCCTTTTTTCTCCGTCCCAAAATAAGTTGCATGTTAGTTGTTTTCGTAAACTTTTAAAAATAAAATACCTAAACTACCTTTAAAATAAGTCAATCTTCTTCACATTATATTTTCATTCATCATCATCTCTCCTAAAAAGTATTGACAATTTTGAAAAATCAACTCTATTTTTAATTTTCCTTAAATATGCCCAAAAGTCAAAACGGGCAATTTAAAACAGGACGGAGGGAGTACAATTTTCATTGACTCTATTATTCAATCTGTGGCGTATTATTTTGAAAAAAGAACACTGATTCAGAAAATGAATTTATACTCGGTACGGGATATAATATAATTGGTCGGGATTCAGGGCCCCTTTTTTTTGGTATCGTGTCAGGCCATAAAATTCTCAAGGCTGGCTCTGAATTTTACATATAAAAAAGAAAAAGGAAATGTTTAAAACACATTGGGAGTAATATTATGGCTATAGTTCTATTTTTGTACTAATGTCAATGAACCAGCTCAACCCAACAAATCAAGCTTGTGGTTGTATGTCCAGAAAAAGTTTTATACTCTAACACGGCCTCACATGCAGGTGACTAGGTGAAATTTGTGCTTGCTCGAACTATACATGTGAACATTAAAATTTTAAAACTGTGTGGCGGAGAAGTTCAAACTCATGACCTCCTGGCCACCAAAACTCTGATACCATGTCAAGGAAAGTAGGAAACAAACATAATCAAAAGTCCAAGCTTTTATTGTGGCGTTAAAAAGGTTTTCTAACTGTAACACGCCCCTTACATGCAAGTGTGGCATATTCAACTTTTGCACATGAAACCTTATTTATTTATTTATTTTGTATTTTAAAACTGAGCAACAATGGAGCTCGAATTCATGACTTCTTGGTCAACTAGACAAATGATGATTGCGAAGAATATGGCACACATGTTGATTGCAAGGACTCAAAAGGAAGAATGCACTTGAAAATAATTGTGAGATTTGATATTTTCCAATTATTGTTGGTGATTGTAAACATGTAATGAGTAAAGAGCTAATTGTTTTCCTCATTAGAGTGATCTTTTGTTAAAGAAGAACACATTGGGTAATCATGGTCTAGGCAAGGCATCTAATTCTATGTCTCATGTTGTTGAATTCAAGGAGGGTTGGCCTGATTTCATTGCAAATGCACTCAGCTTCAAACAACTTGTGTATGTTAAATTTAGTTAAAACAAACAAGAAAATTTAAAAGAATAACTACATGGTACATATGAAGATTTCAAACATGGGTACCTAACGGGAAGCGTTGAACGTTAGTCATCTTCTTCATCAGAATCTGAGCTTCCAGATTTGTAGCACTCATCACTATTTCCACCACCATCATCGTCGTTGTCGTCAATTTCTTCTTCTTCACCAGGATCATTTTCAACAGCGTCAAGCTGAGGCAAAATGTCAAGTCCTTTGCTTCGATAGACTAACCCGGTCCTCATCACATGATGAAACTTGTCCCTGTGGCGGGTGAGTGGATGTGGGTTTGCCAGTCTCCCACGACGGTACCCATCCCTGAGTGCCACAGTGGTTGTTTTACACTTCATTGAGAGGTAAAATATCCCGGGGTACCTAGTAAATATTCGCGTGAATCTATGGGGAAGATTCATTTCTTCTCTGAGGCTCCTTAGGTAGTTCCTCTTTGTTTTCTTGTACAGGGTCAAGCTCAAGAATTCATGTAGCACGCCAACAACCCATTTTTCCATCAAATCACTGTTGGGATCTATCCCGCTAGAATCTTCATAGGGTGAAATATAGGGGAGATTCTGGAACTCATCCATCCAGGCTTTCACCTTCTTCTGCGCTCCATAGCCCCTAGGGAAACTCATGGGGAATTCCAACGCGGATTTCCCCTTCCTGAATTGCCTGTAAACGGACGTGGTGTCGGTATTGCCACCTGACTCATCCTTATTGTTCATCTTTTGCAGCTCAGAGACTGCAAAATGGTCCTCCCATTTGAGAAGTTTTAGACATGGGGAACCATTTGAGCCACCTCTAACGACCACAAAATTCTCTGGGAATTTTTTGATAAAGTTCCTATCGAAATCATCAGGCAATCCTAAATCCCATTTCAGTTGATGCAGAGATTCTAGAGGTACCTACATCATTTTGAAGAAAAAAAGTTCAAAATCGGAACCAACAGAAAGGGCAAATGAGCTGGAGATCATGCAAGGATCATAGTATATGTTAGCAAAGGCTTGAATTTACAATAGAATTAGAAAATAAGGAATATCAAACTAATCAAAGTATCATTCCTTTGATCAACATGGGAAAGCATAAAGCCTTCACTTGACAGTTTTACACCTAATCCAATTTGGCACCCTACCAATTCTTAGTTTTAGGGCATGTTTGGATCAAGGAAACTTCTAGGGAAAGGGGGGAAGTTCCGAGTTTCCTATGCCTGGCTTTAACTTAAAAAATGCAAAGAAAAATAAAAAATGAATTATTCATTTTCTTTAATAAAAAGCATATGGGAATTATTCAATTTCGAGTTGGTTAAATGTCTATACAAACCAATGTATAAATGCTTTTGAAAAAACAATATCTAATACTAGAAACAAATTTATTAATTACTTTCCCTAGTATATTATGGATTCCAAACAGACCCGCTAGGGCCATCCTTTTCTCCTAAACAATAGTTTCATTTGCCATACATTAAAAGATATTTACTACATATATCCATATCAAGCATAC